CCCCCCAAAAAAAAAAAAAATAGTATTGGTACCTACTTAAAAGCCCCTACCTATATTGGGTTCTTTTAGAGTTCTTTTCGGGAAGCCTGCTACGGCGCAACATCCCGACCTACTTAGAGGAGCTGTGACCTGGTTCTTACCTTCCACATGGTCCAGCTTACTTCCCTTTAGGGTTTAGGGTTTAGGGTTTAGGGTAAACTTTCAGGTTACTACGAAACCTTACTTCCCTTTAGGGTTTAGGGTTTAGGGTTTAGGGTAAACTTTCAGGTTACTACGAAACTATAAGAACCCATAAAAGGTTGGGCATTGGGGAACTAAGCCACAACCCTAAAACCCTAAACTAAACCCCGGGAACCCCTGAAAAGGAGCCCATATCGACTGAAGGTATGCTTAAATGCTGAATCCCGAGATCTTACTGCCTGAAGATGTCCCCAAACCCCCAAACCTAGGGATCAACAGGGAACCCTAAACCCGCAAGCCTTAAGCCCTAAGCCTTACTGACTGGCAAAAATGGGCCTCGCTTTGAGCACACTGCCAAGAAGCGGCAGCCGTAAATCCTATGGGTAGTTCTTAAAATTAAGGTCCGGTTTAATGGTCCTTAAAGGGATCTATACGGGTTTCCATCGGGTTTCTATACGGGTAAGGATTCTACATGGGTAGTTCTCCAAATTAGGGTCCCTTTTAGTGTCTTTTTTTACAAGGGTGCCGTACTATTCTGGGGACCTGAAGAGGGACCCTAATTTAGAGAACTACCCTTGTGATCCACTCTGGTGCCAATCTTGCGGGTTCGAGGCTTCAGGTTTAGGACTATGGGTTTAGGATTCTCGGGCTGAAACCCTAAACCCTAAAACCTCAATCCCCGGGAGCAGGACGAGATCTCGCAAGAGCAACGGCTTGAGTTTACATCCTTCCCGCTCACTTTAGGACCCAAATGACCCTAAGACAACTGGGGCCCTCTACCCGTATACTATGAATCTCTATATGGGTGGTTGTCAAAATGATGGTCCCTTTTTGGGTCCTTATTATAATACGGCACCTATTATTTAGGGTACCCCAAATGGGACCATAATTTTCACAACTACCCATATGGGACACGAACCTTAAACCCTTTTGGGGGTTCTTTTGGTCCTTAAGGCAGGGACTTCATAATCCGAAACAAAAGCATCCACCCACTCAAGTCAACAACCCCTACTTACTAACTCCCTGGAGCCCTTATAGAAGTAGCAGCTTAGGCGGCGGCACAAATAGTTCTCCTTGCTCATGGTCCCATCCTGACGTGTCGCGCGAAAGTAAGGCAGAATTAGGGTTCTGGGGCTTAGGATTTAGGGTTGAGGGGCTCGGGGTTTAGGGTTTTAGGGCAAGGGCAACCTCTCGTTTTACTTGAAAGCGGATTATGACAGGATAATAATATTGGGTCCTGAGGAAGATGGGGTTACTTAAACTGTGGCCTACATTAATAACAACCTTGATAACCACTTTAAACCGTAAGCCCTCAACCCTTAAACCAAACCCTAAACCCTCAACGTACACCGGACAAGTCAGACTGCAGGGGCCTGGATAAGTCGGAACATGTATACCAGGCCTCGATAAGATGACTTCACCCAAATGCTTGTCTGACGAATATCTTTATACATAGAGTGCAGGTATATCTATGTATGCATGCATGCATGTATGCATGTATGTACGTGTGTATATATATATACACACACATATTCGTCAGATAACACATCATGGCACAAACGCAAGCACCGTTCTAAACATTGGTCATGAGCCCTGCAGCACTCTAAGGTGGGCTCCACTTCTCTATGATCCTCCTGCTACCATTACTACTGCGACTGCCACTACCACGGCTACTGCACCGACGACGACCTGTACCACCCAAGCTCGCATCGTTTAGGCTTTCGGGTTTAGGGTTGAGGGTTTAGGGTCCAGGGTTTAGGGTTTGGGGTCTAGGGTATAGGGTTTAGGAGGGGGCTAAGAAGGGTGTTGAGGGTTTAGGGTTTAGGGCGCTTCAATTAAGGCTAAGAAGGGTGTTTCGGATGAGGTAGAGTTGAAGCCGCTGCCTCCAAATCTAAAAGCCAAAGAAACTACCTCGTAAACCTAAGACTTCCGAATCGTAAAAACCACTACTCCCCCCAAACCCCACAGACTGGTGCCCGAACCCCAAACTTCGGAGCCTGCAGGCAAGCACGGATGGCATCGTACATGCCTACCTGGAAGACAGGGGGGCAGGTTTTAGGTTTAGGGCCTGTGGTATTGCGGGTTGCGGCTCAGGGTTTAGCTTCCGAAGATGAGTAAAACAGAATGGGTAAACAACTTATTCAATAAGCTGTTTACCCGTTCTGTTTTACGAGCACGAAGGGCCAAGGACGATCAGGATAGGATAGCGCAATGCATCCCTGTCGAAGTGGCGAAAGCCCTTCCGCGGCAGCCTGCACCGCTGGAAACGGCCTATAAGTTGCATGGTTGATTGCTGCATAGCAGATTGAAAACCGCATCTTTAAACCCTAGCCCTCATCTTTGGGTTTTAACAGATGCACTTTGACTTTTTTGGATCAGGGTTTGGGGTATAGTGTGCTGCTATTTCACAGGGGATCCTACTGCCCCCCTTTATTCAGAGTTTCTTAAGGGGCCCTAAAATTCAGATCCCTAGTTTAAGCCCTATAAATAACAGAGAGGAACGCTGCGGGGGCCCGTGTTTCTCCTTTCTCATGAATAAACCAATCACCCTAATCGCTGGACCCTAAACCCCGGCCGTTAGAAACCCCGGCAGTAAAGCTGATGACATCAGGTCTTTGAGGCTTTGAGGTTTAGGGGTTTAGGGTTTAGGGTTAGGCCTAGCATGTTTCCTACGTGTCCAGTACCTAAAGGAACGGAAGGTTAACCGTCAATAATACTTCAAATTTACTATCTACCCCAAAAAGTTAAAGGTTACCTGCTTCTACTACTACTAAGGTTTAAGGCTCCTTCCTCAAGGGATACGATACGGATTCCTCTAAGAGTAATATAGGGGCTTTAATAATTAGAACAGGGTTGGTGTAGGAAACTTAGACCCTTTTGGGGCTCTTTTCGTCCTCAAGGTAGCGGGGGCGTAGGGAAAAGCGCTGGAAGAGGGGCTCAAGGCAGGGGTTAGCTGGGAATTTGGGCCTTCCGGGCCTTTTTGGGGTCGAGGGTTTATGGTCCGAATTCCTAAACCTCTGAACCCCTAAACCCTAAACCCTAAAACCTAAGTCCTAAACCCTAAACTCCTACAGCTTAAACTCTCTATGCAACCTCTGAGATTGGGCTTGAAGACCCAAAGGCGAGGTCCTTCGGAATCGCAAGATTTGTCCAACAACATCCCCTTACAGAACCTATACAGTTTAGGGTTGAGGGTTTAGGGTTTAGGGCAACGGCACAATAGATGCTTCTAGCATCTTCTAACCATCATGGCCCCGGTTTTGAACCCTTAGAGCGAGCATGTCAACGAACACTGCCCTGTATCGTGTGCTGGGTTCTTTCAGGTTTGGTGCAAAGTTCCGGTGGAAGGGCCTCCTCCAACGCAAGGCGAGAGTCACCGTCCTTCATTTCGAGGATCAGAACCTGCACTGACAGAGCTGCATATTGAAGGGCCTTCTTGGAGGGTTTACCTAAACCCTAAATATAAGGAGCTGGCCGGGTCTAGCCCCTTAAGGCACCGGAAATCCGAACCCCACAATGGGGGCCCTGAAGGGGACGACTGATGGTTCCATAGGGGGATACTTGGAGGGTCGGATTACTTAGTGATTAGATATTAAGTAGAGTTATAAGTATCTTAAAAGAAATCCCAATATGGGTGATGGTACTTATAAGACTATATAATAACTAATTACTACGTCCCCCGACCCTCTAAGTAGAGGCTGAAGGATTCGCCTTACGATTGGAGGATCACAGGTTCCAGGTTTAGGGGTTTAGGGTT